TGACATTTATATCCGATGCCCCCCACCCTGTATGTTTGTCCAAGGGAGCTGATAAGCATTGTGCAATATCTTTATTTAGAATATATACGACAAATTCAGTGGTATAAAATGCTGAACAATAATTTTGCATGAGTGAATGCATTTGAAGCAATGAAACATTTGCGCAAAACCTGTCCATTAAATACTGAATTTTAAATCAAGCTGACAGCCTACCGTGCGAACAGCCTAGCTCCGGTACCGTGCGAACCTGCACCGGAAACCCAGTCTCAGACGGGAGGGCGATGCTGGGTTTTCCTCATATACAAGTACGGCAAATCCGTGGGACGCAATCACATTCCATTCCTGATGAGAAATTGATTGATAGATGTCTGCCGCCAGGTAACGATGGGGCCTGAAGTCGCGGCCCTGACCATTCTCTCCCTCCTCTCACGATGGACCGTGGGTGGTGAAAAATTGACAGATGTCTGCCGCCAGGTAACGATGGGGCTTGAAGTAGCCGCCCTGACCATCCTCTCCCTCCTCTCACGATGGACCGTGGGTGGTGAAAAATTGACAGATGTCTGCCGCCAGGGAACGATGGGGCCTTAAGTCACCGCCCTGACCATCCTCTCCCTCCTCTCACGCTGGACCGTGGGTGGTCGGGACGGGGTTACCTGGCGGCGAGCCGGGCGTACACAATGACACGCTACCGGGGGTGATATCAGTTCTGCGGCCGACCCCACGGTTGGGGCTGACCATGACGGCGCTCCGTCATCCAGGTGTTGACGGCGTCGGTCCACGCCCGGCCGATGGGTCGGCACCCCGCTGCGCCAGACCGGTCACACCAGCCGCCGGTCGGCGTCATTGGAATTCAGACAGCGCGGCGGCTCCCAGGATTACCGTCTGGTCCGCCATGTCAGAGGGACTTGCTTGTCACTTCGTTATCTGTATGGGTAGCATCTATGACTTTACTTATACAGCTGGTGAAGTAACAGACATAAAACCTCGCCCGCACATGGGGGGGTTGCAACCCCCCAGGTAGTCTTTCTGCCCTGCACTCAACATCTTTAGAGTTAGAGGGCTGATTTTTCGTATAGCTGCTCCTCTATTCTTTCTTGATGTCCACTGAAAATTTCAAGTTTCTGTGATTTTTGGTTTCGGAGATATGACCTTGTTTTTCAGGTCACGTCATGACCCAAATGGCCAATTATCTACATCTTGCGTTGGCTATGGGCCTTGTGAGCTTTTGACACCTTGATTTCGGCCTTTTTTGCCAGTCTTACCTCCCACCTATCATGGAGCATGTTGTTCGACGATGTACAGATGTCAAGGCCAGGGTCAAGGTCAACCTAGGTCATCTAAGATAATTACGTTTTAGGCAAGCGGAATTTACTTTTTATGGAATTTTTCGACTGCATTTTTGGTAAAAGCTTCTCAGATCATTATTTCATGTAATATGGACACATAAACAATCGGTGCACACATCAGTATACTCACAGACACACACAGACATACAAACACATATAATTGACCTTGACCTAACTTGACCTGAAATGACCTCAGCAGCAAAAACCTGGTCGTATAGTGTGACAAAGAGGTTCTAGCTGGCTTGGCACCAGAAAACGGCATCGTGATCGGTAAATGATAAGCAGCGCACTTGATATCCAACGGTGACCCAAAACAGCAACATCTTTTAGTTTGACCTGACCTGGAAGGTCAATGACTGACCTGAGAAGTTAAAACTTGGTATCATTTGATTTGTCTCTTCCCAAAGAATATTTTTGGTCTTTACCGCTAAGCTCTATCTCCAACAGGAACGAGATTGCGCTGGGGGTGGGGGGATGGCAACCCCCCCCCCCCATGTGCGTTCTAGGATGGGAAAATGGCATGTGCGGGCGAGGGTTAAACTGTCGGAAACAGCTGAGTACTGCGTGCAAGATAACTGACAAGTTCTATGCCATATTTCCATTTGAAATATATTAAAAAGATCGTTATAGACGCAAGATGCATTGTTAAAACAGTAAAAGCAACTTAGTGACAGCGTTTTGAATCACAATGTAGCATTCTGCGCAGCATCTGTCTACCTCCACTGTAAAGACAATTCATAGCCTTTTCAAAATAGCCGTGAATGTGTACCGTGATTCTGCAATACGCTACAACCGCACACGCGGCTGCTACAAGGGCATTTTCATCCCTCACATAACTTGATTTGTAAAATGTTGGTACATCCTAGGAACCCGTCATGAAAACGGCTATCAATGATTAGGTAAGTGGATTGTCAACAATGATAATCCGTCATCATGTAACAAATTGTTGAAAGCCAAGGAACCTTGGCTGAGTGACAAGGCAAAAAGTTTGTAATGTTACGCAAGGCCGTTATTTTCCATACAGTTTAGTTATTTCGCAACCTGTGTCATGCTTTATGAAATCGGTTGCCCTGGTCATGTCGGTTACTTCATCTATAGATTTAAACAACAGGCACATGCACCTAACAAATCAGCGACACATAGCGCGGATCAGATGTTGGCCCGTGGGTACCGTTGTGTCAGGTATTAGCACCGTTATGGACCAATGGATGTCGTGCGGGGGTGGAGCCTGTGCCGCATCTGGCTCCTGATTGGCCGCCTGGGGACAGACACCTGTCGCGACTCACCGTGTAGTAAAGGGGAGGGGCGGAGCATCTGCCTCGCCCTGGCTAACTGATTGGCTAATACCCATTTACCATCATTAATTTATAATGTTTGAGGCTGTAAAGTTTTCACAGTGCCCGAAGAACTTCCGCGGCAGAAAGGTATGGTGTTCTGTTTCTCGGTGCGGGTTGTTGGGTATGTGTGTCCAATGATAACGCTTTGTGTAGCCTGGGCTACGTGATCAGATTTATAGACTGCTGCTGCCTGCTATCTGTTGAAGTTCGCTAAATAAGTTATTCAATTAGGATATGCTTGACCTGCACATTCAGTGACCGTATATGCTAGAATGTAAAGGATATTTGTAAGTGTCCATGCTTAACGTCTTATTACCGGTTAAAGGCATTTACCGCATTTAAAGGCACTCAATTCCTTATGACATGGGGCAGACTGGACCGTGAACATAAAAACTATGCGTAATCCTTTCTGAATACGACTGAAAGCTGTGCTACTTTTTTCTGTTCCGTACTTTATTCCTGCTCACAACTGTCTACTGACGGCAGATAGCATAGGTACGAATCCCCTACCCCGCATCGTCGCTTTAAATGCCTAGGTACCATCATATGTCTAATGAAGCGTTTTAATTGGACAGGGATGGAGGGCAGGGGCGGACAGTCCCATCCGCGGGCCGGCGAGGCCTGGCTGAGGAAATACCGCTCAGCTAAGCGGGCTGAGCAGGGCCTCGCCGACCCCAGGGTGGCTGGACCCGCCCTAAGTCCCCCGAAGAAAACCCGCAAGCGGCCCATGTCGCCGTCGCCTATGCCAGCCGCCGCCTACGGGGAGGCCCCAACAAGGCAGCCCCACCAAAAGCGACCGCGTGCAGCACCACCAGCGCGCCGGTCGACGGTCCCCGGTCCCGCGCATAGCCCCAGCCTCAGCCCATCGAGGAGGGCAGCGGCCGCCTATCTGGCTTTAGCCAGAAATAAGCATAGGCGGGTGCAGCTGGCGGCTAGACGACAGCTCCAGCTGCCGACCGGGGACCGGGAGGGGCGGCGGCGGCAGCAGCGGCAGCAGGAGCCGGACCGGAAGCCGGACAGCCGGACAGCAGCGGCAGCAGCAGCAGCGGCAGCGGCCGCCGGCAGCGGCAGCGGCAGCGGCAGCGGCAGCAGCAGCGGCAGCGGCAGCGGCAGCGGCAGCGGCAGCGGCAGCGGCAGCGGCAGCGGCAGCGGCAGCGGCAGCGGCAGCGGCAGCGGCAGCGGCAGCGGCAGCGGCAGCGGCAGCGGCAGCGGCAGCGGCAGCAGCGGCAGCCGGACAGCAGCGGCAGCCGGACAGCAGCGGCAGCAGGAGCCGGACCGGAAGCCGCAGCCACAGCCGCGGGCGCAGCCGGAGCCGCAGCCGGAGCTGCACCCGGAGCCGGAGCCGGAGCCCGAGCCGGAGCCGGAGACCGAGCCGGAGCCGGAGCCGGAGCCCGAGCCGGAGCCGGAACCGGAGCCCGTGCCCGAGCCCGAGCCGGAGCCGCAGCCGGAGCCCCAGCCGGAGCCGGAGCCCGAGCCGGAACCGGAGCCCGTGCCCGAGCCGGAGCCGGAGCCGAAGCCGTTGCCAGAGTCGGAGCCGGAGACGGAGCCGGAGCCGGAACCAGAGCCGGATCCGGAGCCGGGGCCGGAGCCGGAACTAGATTCAGAGCCGGAGCCGGAGTTAGAGCTGGAGCCGGAGCCGGAGCCAGAGCCGGAGCCGGAGCCGGAGCCAGAGCCGGAGCCGGAGCCAGAGCCGGAGCCGGAGCCAGAGTCGGAGCCGGAGCCGGAGCCGGAGCGCCAGCCGCAGCTGCAGCAGCAACGGCTTCCCCGACGGCGGCCGCAACCGCGGGCGCAGCCACAACCCGTTGCAGAGTCGGAGCCGGAGCAGGAACCCGCAGAAGGAGCGGACTTGCCGGTGGCGCCGGTACCCGACGGATTTGGTAAGTCAGCGTACGGAACTGGGGTTTCCTTAACCGTATTTACTAGTAACGGTACCAGTGATACCGTATCACTGGTATTTGATTACCACAGCTAAGTATTTGATTACCCTAGCTAGTAAGGCAGTTCTGCCATTGGATTTCACTAAGACATCTATTTGTATCGAAATAAACAATTCTATTTTGGCATCAGGTGTCTTTATGCCTGTCCAGTTCTGTTTAGCATGTAGGAGGAACGTTAACACTGCTCGCTTTGTCTTGCAATGTTGCACATTCTGTTTTCTATCACCACGATACAAACACGACGAGCAGTCAAGAAGCACAGCACGCGTTTTGGATTGTTCTCAGTTATTACTGCTGATACTGATCATTGAAGGAAACAGGTTGATGACTGTTCATTAGAGTTATTTGGGGAACTTTGATCCGAAAATTTTCACATTTCAGAGCCAGCTCCGCTTGAGTCAGTGCCTTGCTGCTGTGGGGGATTTTACTCCACAGCAGACAGGATACGGGCCCATGCGAGATATCTCAAAAAGTCGGGATCGCCAGAAGAGGCGGAGTTTTTCGCCACCGCCCGCGACCTGCACCGCCACGGAGAATTCCGCCTCTTCGTGCACTCCGCTCCGGAAACGTATGTTTCATTTTAATTGTTCTCTCAACTATTCACATTTAATGTGTTGCAATTCATATCAATTATTTCACTTTTAGTTAAACACGATCTTTTTATTGCTCAGGACAATGTATAAAATTCGTTTATAATTGCATCACGTAAAACATCCAAGGGGTTTACGCGTCTCATAAGTATTTGTACTTATTTCAGCCTACCGGTCGTCTGTCCCGCGTGTCCGGCCACCCGCGCCTTTGGCGTGGGGGAGCGCGGGAGGGACAACTTTAGGTATCACCTGAAGACGTTCCACCGCAGCTCCGAAGCGCCGGACTTGCGCCAACGGGATCGCGCAGCTCGAACACTGGTGAGTGCAAAGCTTGCATCGTCTTCGCTGTTGTCCATTAATTGAATGAATATTGTCCATCTCTCTCTATTTCAACTTGAGTCATTAACCATATAGTGACAATATAACAAATATAAAGGCGACGGAATGACATCCGCGACCGAAAAAAACGTTGTCGTTTTGAAATAAGCAAATGAGCCGCAATTATGACAAGTTAACTTTCAATAATTTCTCTTTTATTCCAGTGCATCCGCGCTACGTCAGAACGGGCGGCCCGGCGCTTAAGAGCGCCGCTGCTTCCGGAGGCCGCAGAGCCCGTGCTGGTGTGTAAATATGCTGACAACACTCGAATAAAATGCATGCACTATACCCAAATAAATATTCCGATGAACATTCTAACTCTGTATGTCGGTTTGCTGTCCAAGCTGTCATTAACTAGCGATGATTCCCCTGGCTCTGTCACTAACGTTGTAAATGCGTGTACGTGCCTTCGCCAGTCGGCGATCCGCCGCCGGGAGCGCGCCGCCCAGCTGCAGGAGGAGGAGGCCCTCCTGCCCGGGGAGGCGCACCCGGAGCGGGTGCTCCAGGCCTCCATCCGCCTGGATGGGCCTGACCACCCCCTATTTTCCCATCACGGAGAGGTAAGCTAACCTAACGTTGCTAAGTTTACTGGAGTGCTGGGACTGGTAAACCTACTTGTTGGACGTCCTGCGTTCAAGCCTTTGCAAATTTGCTAATTCATTGGATAATCTTCGAGCTGCAGGGAGCTAGGTTTGGGTGTCTGAAATTCGGGGCTGTTTGACGAAATTCGGATTGGCCTGCAGTACACCGAGACCAGCCGTTACTGGGCTCTGGCGCTGGCCCAGATCCTGGACCTGGCGCAGCTGCCGGCAGACATGGACTGGCGATCCATTGTGCTCGACAGTGCCAGCCTCGCCAGGGTAAGTTCAGATTATCATTTATAAACTATGCATTTGTGCTAGGAGGGTTAACCCTCTGGCAGGCGGGGAGGGGGAGGAGCGGGGTCGATTTGAGCCCCCAGCATTAAAGTTTTTTTTCAAAGATAGCTTAAATATGGCAAGGCGCAGCCCCGCCAAATTTGACACAGCCTATTGGGCAACGTTTTTACACATGACCTGAAAATTGCAGGTCCGGGTGGCCTTGGGTCAGGACACCAGGTCAGAAAAACCGGTACACGGTCATGGTCAAATTCCAATTTTCGTCATGCACCTATCCAACTCACAGTTTTTGACTGATTTCCTTCGAACTTTTAGGGTGTGTTAAGTTCACGGATTTGTATAACGTTTAATTAGGATTTTGATGTCACTGACCTTAGGTCAGTTAGAGCTCAATACGTTGTGATGTCTAGCCTATTGGAAATATTCAAATGACTAATTCAGAAAATATGCTTTGTTTTATCACTTAGCAGTTGCACGATTAAGTGCTCCCTGCTGAGATAAAATGGCTTCGTCTGACATGTCGTGACCAATCGCAGGATGTGTACTCAGCATGCGGAGTTGTTAACGTTAAATATTGTTAGATACTACCTCCCTAATGTGCCGTCGGCAGATTATGGACGTGGTCAGCGCCACGCTGAAACGCCAGCCCCAGAACGGCGCCAAATTTCGTAAGGCGCTTACTCACTTTTGCACCCGCGTCAAGGAGGGTGCGTGGCGCCTTCGGTGCAAAAGTGTTGTAAGCGCCTTCACGGAGTTCAACGACGGCCTGCTGGGCCTATCGAGGCGCCATCGCAGAGGTAAGAGTCGTCTATCGATTAACTGACACATTTAAATACGTTTCCAATTGTTTACTGCATGTTTGAATATTCTTGCATAACCTGTCGGTCTGTAGCTAATATGTTGAGTATGGTATGGTATTTGTGGCTTATTTTTCTACGATTAAGAAAAATAAGTAACAATATCTAGGTGATGTTGTTATAGCTTGTTCGGCTGATAAATATATGTCCGTGATGATCACTGGGCTGTGAGTGGGCCTCACAGCCCAGTGATCATCACGTTTTACCAGTGACGATCATGCACCGTCTATTTGGTCACTCCAACGTTGAGTTGCATGCTTGTTCTAACTCTAATACCTCTTACATTCAGAGCTCCATCTGAGCAAAGCCGCCCGCGAGGCCCGCAAACAGGAGACCACCATGTCTGTGGAAGACCGACGGGAGATCCAGCGCATCTCGGAGGCCTATCTCTCGTCGGTCCTCGCACAGCCGCCCGTCGTGCCCACTCGAGCGCTAGCGATCCAGTTCCGGGAGTAAGTTATTCATTTATTCGTTTGTATACACCTTGTAAAATGACCTAAAAAAGGCTAGTTCCATGCTGTATGCACGAAGGGAGAACAGTAGGTGCCCGTGGCAGTGCAGACTACGAGTGATGGATTTATGACTGAAATGATAACTAAAATAAAGGTTCAGGAACAATGCCGTATTGCCAGACAGAAATAACATTGTTGAAATCAGTTATGTATTAATAGTTTTACGGAGAATAGGAAAGGTGACGGAAATAAACTTAGATTAATTGATCTGCATAAGTACGCTTAGTGTCAATATCACTAACTTCAATACTATTTCTGCAGGATCCTGTTCATTGTTCTTTCGAACCTGTCTGGATACAGGACTGGCGCCATTGTGGGCACCACGCTGGCCGAATGGCAGACAGCAGAGGTAAGACGAGCTTTGTCGATAAGCTGTAATATATTTGAGCTGCCAGTGGTTTAATATCATAAGTACTTACATAATGACAATCGTACTAAATACTAAAGGTGGCCAATTATTGTTGTTCGGATAGTCAATGGTTAATTCCTCGCGTTGTGTTACGCTTAGCTTTGTAACTTAATGCTTTATTTATCTTAACTTCGCTTAACTTTCTTAAAACAACTTAATGGCCTCGTTCTCATTTTTTCTATGTATTTTCTTCACCGTCGTTCTCTCGTCTTGCCCGACCTCAATACGATAATCATCACAAAACATATGTGCACGCGACATGTGTGATAAAAGAACCTCTGTAACAATCGTATTTTTAATAAGAAAAATCTGTAAACAACTCAGCAGCCGCCTGACAGAGGGTGCCGCCATTGCCAGATGTCGGAGGACGGTCAGGCGTTCTCCTGGTTCACCATGGCCAACAAAACCCTTGGCACCTACGGGGCGGCGTTGGTCGTGGTGACTAAGACCATCCAGGAGGCGCTGACCTACTTTGTCCAGCACCTCCGGCATCTCATTGTGACTGAGCTGCCCAAAAACGGTAAGCTATTTGATATTTAAAAGCAATATTTATCGTCAATATCCACTATATGAATGACGTTTAGCAGTGCTCAATGACCTTGCGATAGTATCTTGGTTTCCACTGCACCGACCTGCGTGGGGGGAGCTGCTGGCTGCAGTTATCTTATCGACAGGCCCACTCACAGCCCAGTCATAACATGTTGCTGCTGTTTGGTTTGCGACAGCCGACTCCCAGCGGCTGCTGGTGGCCGCCCGGACCAGCACCGTTGTGCTGGACCGGGCGCTGAAAGCGGCCGCCGATGCAGTTGGCGGCGTGGCGCCGGACCTGGTCGCCCGGTTCAAGAATAGCATGAACCGGGCGTTCCACAACGTTCAGGCAAGTGATGATTATTACGCCGTGTTGCTCTCGAAACTTTCATAACTGATATGTACGCCAATCCCTATCGTTCGTAGGGTGACAGTTTTAGTTGCGACTTCTGCTCACTTGTATGTTGGCGAGTGCCTATTTACGTGCATCCGATCGATATGCAGCAGCGCCCTGCAATGTCCTGATCCGTTGCCTCGACCCTCAGGACCGGGAGATGCGGGAGGCTGGGGCGCTCACCCAGAGCGCCGAGACGGCGTCCGAGGTGCGGAACCATTCCGCGCACACGGCCGCGCGGGATTATTCCGCCCACGGTCGCCGTCAACGCATAATCAGCTACTCGAAAGAGTTCCGCCAGGTGGTAATGGTAAGCAATGCAGGCTGCTCCTTGTAGCAACACTTAATCCTTAACCATGAATACCAACCTTTACTACAACTACGAGCAGTCTACCTGAATAATTATATTGGAACTCCAATAGTTTTGCGCCAACTGTGCAATATTCAAACTTAACCCTCGCCGGCCGAGGGGGAGGGGGTGGGTGCCGCTCCCCATAGTGTTTTTTTTTTAGGATATAGGACCTTAACATGGAATATCAATCTCTTTGTCTCGTAACGGCGCACACACTTGTTTTTATCCGTGACGCACTAGCTCCACCAGGGGCGAAACGGCAAAAGGGGGTCATACCCGCCCCCCATCGGGCGGCGCGAATGTAGAAAACTTATAGGTCCGGCGAGGGTTAAAAAGTCAATTGCCGTTGAATAGCACGCTGCCTGCTGACTGCGTTTCACCAGTGGCCGTGTGTTGATGTTTGTGTCTGTTGCACCACTGCAGGGCGAGGCGGCGGAGACGGCCAGAGGGCCGGCCGAGCCGCTGCCGGAGGACGGCCAGTGTGCTGGCACGGCACGGCCGTCCCCCGACTGTGCCAGCTCACCGCCGCTGGCCAGCCTTCTTGTCGAGTCGCTCCGGCTGGCAACACCGGAGCTCACAGCCCAGGTGAGCTCATTCTCAACAGATATTTGTCTCTTATCTTTTCGACTTGTAAAACGGAACGTCATCCACTGGCGGCTTTTGTTTGCTTGAAATGCCTGTTTAGACAAATGTGGAGTCCGTTATAGTGCCCCTGGCTTCCGGAAGCTCAAGAAATACGGAAAATACTGCACAGCAATTCACAGCGTTCACCCGATGGTGTTGTTTTTTCAGCCTTGCCCATCGTTGGCGGAGCCTCAGCCACCGTCTGCGGACGAGAGCCGGTCTGTGTCGGCGCTGCCCACACTGACCGTGCTGCCCCGGGTAAGCGAGTCGCCCACACTGACCGTGCTGCCCCGGGTAAGCGAGAGTCGCCACCCACCGAGTCGGAGAGCTGGCTGTTTAATGTCTAGTACAGGTGTTTGTACATGAGCCCATTCCGGCACCAAAACTCGGGTATTGGATTTGCCAAAATAGAGCCTAACCGGCTGAGCAATGTTCTCAAGCATGCAGCTGTTTTATTGCGGGGTCATCTGACAAATGCACCAAACTTTACCAAAACTGAGCAAGTCTCTTCTGCAACAAAAATATCCATCCATATAATGAAACCATTCCAATGTCTTGTTGGAAAGTAATGTATGATAATGTCAGAATTTGGGTACACAATAAACTCGTGCAATATACGCTGAAACTAAGTAAACCTAAATATGGATCTAACCAAATTGCACCAGGTGTTCCCAAAAGTGCCGTCATGAGATTGGCTAAAGCTGCTGTTCAACTTCCGCAGGGTACGACGTCTTCGGACGCCGGGCGCCAGTCAGCAATGGCGCCTTCGCCGGCCCGGCTGCCGCAGCCGAGGCCATCGTGGGCCGCACTGGCCGCCCCGCCCAGCGTGCCCAGCGCACCTGGGCCAGCCAACCGGACCTGGGAGGACACCTCGGAGCCCGAGCCGGGTCCCTCCTGGGCCGGCGAGACGGCTCCGTCGTCGCCTCCGGCTGCACCGGTCCCAGCCGCTGCACGGGCCGTCCGCGCTGCCGAGGTAAGCGCAGTGCGCAACGACGCGACGTACCGGCTCTGCACTGTGACCCATATCGCCGAGTGTCATACTGGATTGGAAACATAGCTATTGCAGTAGGCTCTGTTATCTGTAGCAGTATGTCTATATCTATAGCTGTTTTTACGCCGGCTATCTGGTGAATCACTACAATAAATATATGTGCCGACGCCACTAGACGAATGTGTCTTGCAAGCAACGCAAGACAAGCATTATTTCAAATGTTTGTGATTTGTTCCAGGAGCCACTGCGTCTGCCCGACGGCCCGGTGGTGGACGTCGAGGAGGCCACCGGCATCCGGGTGGTGGAGGCCGTGCAGCCCCACTACCGGCGGATGCGGCGCACCCAGTTCGGCCTAGACGAAAAGGAGCCGTATCGACCGCCCACCAAAGGCGCCTCAGCGGTCAGCAAGTTCGCCCGCTGGAGTCCGGCCGAGCTGGCCATCCTGTGGTGGCACCACTCGGTCCAGTCGACACTGGTCAGCTCGGCCGGACTTCCGTTCGGCTCGGCCAAGGCGCTGGTGCTGGCGCTGAGGGAAGCATTTGGTTTCCGCCGGAGCGTCCAGCAGCTCCAGAGGAAGCGGGAGCGCCTGGGGCTCCCCCAGCTCAAGTTTTAAGCTGCTTATTAAATGTGTACATATTGTCAGAACTGTGGTTGTGTGTGTAATGTGTAATATGTGAAATGTGTGTGTAATGTGCATTATGTGTTTTATGTGTATGTAGTGTGTATGATAATAAATATTGTGTTGCTGTATAATATTCTCAGACACGTCTTCTGGGTTCCCTCCAAATTACAAGACAGTGTAAATAAAATTTCTACCACTTTTTAAGGTGCCGTCGAGGCTGGGTGACATTTTCACGAGTCATATCCTCACCTTTAAGTGATCGGGAGGTCCCGCTCTCATCGAACTCATGTGTTCCGTTCTGACTCGAATCAGTCGGTGTCAGGCACCAGATACTGAAGCGGAGCCCAGTGGGCGTCCAGAGAGCTTTGGAATACGTTCAGCGAAGGAGAGCCTACAATCTCGGCCGGCAGTCAATTCCGTCGAGGGCATGTTCACCACACGAATGGCAAAAGCTGACCTCCTAACTCTGCTTGAAGCAGGGACTTTCCGGATCTTGAACTGGTGACCTCGAGTAGAAGAGTGAATAAACTGATTGAATCCACATCCATGCTGCCGTGAAAGATCTGGTAGGTTGCAATAACGGGACGGGAGCATTTTCTGGAGAGATATCGGGAGAGGATATTTTAATGAGAGAAATCCGGACGACCTTGACCAATGGGTGGCATTTAGATGCCGTCGGGGCTGGGTGACATTTTCATGAGACATAACGGGACGGGAACTTTTTCATGAGACATATCGGTAAAGTACATTTTCATGAGACAAATCTGGACGACCTTGACCAAAGGGTGGCAATAAGGCGGCGTCGAGGCTGGGTAACATTTTCGTGAGACTTACCGGAACGGGAACATTTTCATGAGAGATATCGGGAGAGGACATTTTCATGAGACATAACGGGACGGGAACATTTTCATGAGACATATCGGGACGGGAACATTTTCATGAGAGATATCGGGAGAGGACATTTTCATGAAACAAATCTGGACGACCTTAACCAAAGGGTGGCAATAAAGTGCCGTCGGGGCTGGGTGACATTTTCATGAGACATAACGGGACGGGAACTTTTTCATGAGACATATCGGTAAAGTACATTTTCCTGAGACAAATCTGGACGACCTTGACCAAAGGGTGGCAATAATGCGGCGTCGAGGCTGGGTAACATTTTCGTGAGACTTACCGGAACGGGAACATTTTCATGAGAGATATCGGGAGAGGACATTTTCATGAGACATAACGGGACGGGAACATTTTCATGAGACATATCGGGACGGGAACATTTTCATGAGAGATATCGGGAGAGGACATTTTCATGAAACAAATCTGGACGACCTTAACCAAAGGGCGGCAATAAAGTGCCGTCGGGGCTGGGTGACATTTTCATGAGACATAACGGGACGGGAACATTTTCATGAGACATATCGGTAAAGTACATTTTCATGAGACAAATATGGACGACCTTGACCAAAGGGTGGCAATAAGGCGGCGTCGAGGCTGGGTAACATTTTCGTGAGACTTACCGTAACGGAAACATTTTCATGAGAGATATCGGAAGAGGACATTTTCATGAAACATAACGGGACGGGAACATTTTCATGAGACATATCGGGACGGGAACATTTTCATGAGACATATCGGTAAAGTACATTTTCATGAGACAAATCTGGACGACCTTGACCAAAGGGTGGCAATAAGGCGGCGTCGAGGCTGGGTAACATTTTCGTGAGACTTACCGGAACGGGAACATTTTCATGAGAGATATCGGAAGAGGACATTTTCATGAGACATAACGGGACGGGAACATTTTCATGAGACATATCGGGACGGGAACATTTTCATGAGACATATCGGTAAAGTACATTTTCATGAGACAAATCTGGACGACCCAGATCAAAGGGTTGCAATTAGGTGCCGCCGAGGCTGGGTGTATACTCGGAGCTTCGTGCTATATAGTGTCCGAGCTTGGTTTCGTCTAGGAAAACGCAGATTAGCTCAAAAACATTTGAATGCCAATCACCAAGAAGAGTAGGGAGCGTCATTGGAAATCGGTTAATTTTTAACGTAAACGCACTGTTCCTGGCGGCGGTGGTGGACGACGGGCGGATATCGGGCCAAATTTAGCAATGAATAACTAATTAGTGAGTAATCAAAAAGCAACGAGACAAGTTTGGCATCCTAGCAGCATCGATTCTAAAGTACAGGGCACCCAGCGCAGCGCGCTGCCGTCAGTCTTAGAGTGGCGGTGGAGCGAGGGCATGCTTCACGATTTTCCTCACGAAAATGTACCGTTTCTTGCGGCGTTGGTGGACGGCGGGCGTATATTGGACCAAATTTAGCAAACGAATAACTAATTAATGAGTTATAAAAAAGGAACGATACAAATCTGGCATCCTAGCAGCATCAATTCTGAAGCACAGGGCACCCAGCGCAGCGCGCTTCCGTCAACGGGACGCCTTAGAGTTGCGGTGGGGCGAAGGCCTGCTTCACGAATTTTCTCACGAAAATGCAAAATGCACTGTTTATTACGGCGGTGGTGGACGGGGGGCTGATATTAAGCCAACTGTAGCAATGATTTACAATTTGGTGGGTCATTGGAGAGCAACAGATTGGAGGGGTGACATTGAAGCCGTCGATAGCGGTTCTGGGCGCCGGACTTCGCTCTCCACTCTACCCAGTAATTTTCACTCCAATCTACTCGGTTTACTTTATTTCGATTTCGTCTTCCTGAAGAACTCCAGGCTTAACACCCCACTTTAGGAGCCCCGAGTCTACGGGCACCAGCCGTCGCCGCGGGGACCATTAGCACGCGGCGGCGGCCTCCCATCCCTCACACCACTGCGGAGCTTGGTGACGTGACGTCACAACAGACCGCACTGAAGCGTCCGCACGGATGTTTCATTCTTTTTTCTTGGAAAAAACGAAAAAAACTGAACATTTTCCTGACACTCGGTAAAGTACATTTTCATGACCTTAATCTGGACTCACCTGGACGACTCAGATCAAAGGGTTGCAGTTGGGTGCCGCCGAGCCTTGGTGATATTTTCATGAGACATAACGGGACGTACCGAGACATCAAGTACTAGTTAGAAAAAAAAACATGAGACATTCTGCGCAGCATCTGTCTACCTCCACTGTAAAGACAATTCATTGCCTTTTCAAAATAGCCGTGAATGTGTACCGTGATTCTGCAACACGCCACAACCGCACACGTGGCTGCAGCAAGGGCATTTTAATCCCTCACTGAACTTGATTTGTTAAATATTGGTACATCCTAGGAGCCCGTCATGAAAACGGCTATCAATGATTAGGTGTGCTTGATAAAAAAAAACGGGTAGGTTGCAATAATGGGACGGGAACATTTTCATGAGAAATATCGGGAGAGGACATTTTCATGAGACAAATCCAGACGATTTTGAACAAAGGGTTGCATTTAGGTGCCGTCGGGACTGGGGGTAAAGTACATTTTCATGAGACAACGGGACGGGAACATTTTCATGAGAGATATCGGGAGAGGACATTTTCATGAGACTTTTCGGAACGGGAACATTTTCATGAGAGATATCGGGAGAGGACATTTTCATGTAACATAACGGGACGGGAACATTTTCATGAGAGATATCGGGAGGGAACATTTTCATGAGACTTTTCGGAACGGGAACATTTTCATGAGAGATATCGGGAGAGGACATTTTCGTGGGAGTCGAGGCTGCGTAACATTTTCATGAGACTTACTGGAAATGAAGCATTTTCATGAGAGATATCGGGAGAGGACATTTTCATGAGACATAACGGGACGGGAACATTTTCATGAGAGATATCAGGAGAGGACATTTTCATGAGACTTCGGAACGGGAACAATTTCATAAGAGCGGGATAGGATATTTTCGTGAGACTTTTCGGAACGGGAACATTTTCATGACATATATCGGGAGAGGACATTTTCGTGAGACAAACCCGGACAGCCTTGACCAAAGGGTGGCAATAAGGAGCCGTTGAGGCTGGGTAACATTTTTATGAGACTTTCCGGAACGGGAACATTTTCATGAGAGATATCGGGAGAGGACAATTTCATGAGACTTTTCGGAACGAGAACATTTTCATGAGATATCGGAAGAGAACATTTTCGTGAGACAAATCCGGACCAACTCAATCAATGGATGGCAAGAAAGAACCGTCGAGGCTGGGTAACATTTTCATGAGAGATTTCGGGAGAGGACATTTTCATGTGACAAATCTGGGCGACCTTGACCAAAGGGTTGCACTAAGGTGCCGTCGGGGCTGGGTGACATTTTCATGAGACATACGGTGACGGGAACATTTTCATGAAACATATCGGTAAAGCACATTTTCATGAGATAAATCTGGACGCACCAGGACGACGCAGATCAAAGGGTTGCAATCAGGTGCCGCCGAGGATGGGTGAAATTTTCATAAGACATAACGGGACGTAACGAGACATTAGCTACTTATTAGAAAACAAAAACATGGTGCCTATCTTAGAGGGCAAAACTTGTCCGTTTTGCCAAATTGCACTGTTTCTGGTGGCGCTGGTGGACGGCGGGTGGATATTGGGCCAAATTCAGCAATGAATAACTAATAAGTAGGTAATTGAAATGCAACGAGATAAGTTTGGCATCCTAGCAGCAACGATTCTTAAGCACAGGGCACCCAGTGCAGCCCTCTGCTGTCAGCGGGACGCCTTAGAGTGGCGGTGGGGCGAAGGCATGCTTCACGATCTTTCTCACGAAAATGTACTGTTTCTTGCGGCGGTGGCGGACGGGGGGGGGGGCCGATATTGGGCCAACGTAGCAATGATTTACTATTTGGTGGGTCATTGGAGAGCAACGAGACAATATTAGCGTTTCAGATTGGAGGGGTGACATTTAAGCCGTCGATAATGGTTCTGGGCGCAGTACTCCGCTCTCCACTCTTCCCAGCAATTTCCACTCCAATCTACTCGGTTTACTTTATTTCGTTTTTGTTTTCTGAGCACCCCGCTTTATAGTAACCCCGAGTTTACCGGCACCAGCTGTCACGATTGGCACGCGGCGGCGGCATCCCCTCCTTCCCACTACTGCGGAGCTCGGTGATATGACGTCAC